CCCTACGCAACTAATTGTCTCCTCCCCGGTAGGAGTGGGTATTTTTGCGAATTACTTTTAGGTTTCTTGTATTTTTTACGCGATGTACTTCACGTAATTGACACCAGGTAACCAAGATACATGAGCATTTTTCATGAATAAGCAGTTGAAAAATGCAGGATATCAGCTTCTGTTAATTTGGCTTCGATATCCAAGATTACCAGCTCGGAAAAACGTATGCTCACTAGAACATGTTGCTTTGATAGTTTTTAATCTTTCCTTGTGAATTATAAGTATCTAACTGCATAGTTTGGTTCCAGTTTGTCTGCTACTCTTCTATTCGCATTTTCAAAGTAAATTATGCGTTTGACGAAGTGTTTTCCTGTCTCGGCTTTCAATGGTCCTTCTAATATTACTAAGGCAATTATCACGAGCTCCCTGTATACGCTCGACGCAAGTTAGTAGGATGTGCATGTTTCCCATACTCTTTTCCACAAAATCTCTTCTTATTCATTTTAGATCCCCTCGGGACTGAAGCTTCTGGGCTTGTACGTTATCGATTCGATTGTAAAAAATGTGGCCTCACCCTATCGCAAATTGTACACTAAAAACATCGTCGACCTCTTTGTGCATGCATTTCAAGCGGTAAGATCGTAGTATACTTGCTTGAAGTCGTCTTTTATCAGATTCGCGACGAAAATGGCCGAATTAAGCTTTTTAATCTTCGTTCCACATGGAAGGAGATTTTTCCTAATGAGAAAATGCACTCATTGGACCTAATGGTACGCAAGCAGGACCCAGCTTGGCCCCTCCTTGTAACTGCGGAGAGTAAACCTGTCCCCAAGGCTCTTCCATCCGTGCCAAAAGTGTCCAAAACAAAACCCATTGATTCTGAGTCTAAGACAACCTCAGAGGACTCGTCGAGTCCTCAAACACCACAAACTAGTGAGGTTGTCATCGCTCCCTCGCGCGACCCCCGTATTAACCGCAAGAGGAAGGTCCCAGAAGAAACAATTGACAGCCAATTTCTCATAGATAGGGATGGTGACAGCAAAATGGAGTCGGTAGCTCGAAAACAAGGTAAAAAGGACGAAGTCAAACAAGTCAAGAAACCCAACGCCCTTTCTTTGTTTAGCGGCAAAGACCAAGACATGCGCCCGCCCCAAGTGGCACATCCCAATGTCCGACCATTACCTTCACCTGCGCGTACTAATATATGGTCAAGTTATTTTGACAAAAACAGCGAGCTTTGTTCCAGACGTGAGTCTCAAGATATTGACATGCGTTTTGGCTGCTCAAATATGACCGCTGAGAACACTGCGCCAGTTCCCTCAGCCTCTGGGCCCTTGTCTTCATCTCCGAATATATCGGGCCATTCTCTCCCCTATGCGAACGCATTACCTGTACCTTCATCCGCTCCGATGTCGTCGCAGGTTTCCTTTGTCGACAACCTCCAGGTCCCAGCTCAGGATAATTTCATGGCTCCTCGCCGTGA